GGGGGTGGGGGGGGGTGGTGCTTCTGGCACCCATGCGGCTCACCTTCTCTATCCTAAGAGCTTGGAATGGCAGCGGGGGACCTTCCTTCCGGGTGCTGGGACTGGCTGAGCTTCACTCTTTCTTTCTTTCTTTCTTTCTTTCTTTCTTTCTTTCTTTCTTTCTCTCTCTCTCTCTTTCTTTCTCTCTTTCTTCCTCTCTCTCTCTTTCTCTCTTTCTTTCTTTCTCTCTTTCTCTTTCTTTCCCTCCCTTCCTTCTTTCATTTCTGTCTCTCTCTCTCTGACATAATGGGAATTGAATCCAGGCCCTTTGCACTGAGCTATATCCCAAACCCTTAAAATCTCTTTTTAAAATTTGAGACAAAGTCATGCTAAGTAGCCCAGGATGGGCTCAAGCTTATGATCCTCTTGCCTCAGCCTCCCAGAGTGCTGGGATTTCAGGCATGTGCCACCATACGTGGCCACTCTGCTTTCTTCTTATGAGCCATGGTAGATGTGCCTTCTCCTTCTCTTCTGGCTGCATTCTTCATATGGTCCCTGGATCTTATATCTGTACTATTATTCTCCATTTTTCCATCCCCAATATGATAGTCCTGCCTCTTCTTGGTACATGGCACACACAGACCCACATAAGGCAATCCAGGGCACCACAGCTGCCAATCAAGCCCATGCAGCCCAATTCACTGAGCAATACCTCCATTACAGTTACCTCCAGTTACCTAGGGACGCCCTCTTCTGGAAGGAACGTTTCTCTACATGTTTGATTTCAAAAGATTATTTTGTCAAGGGTCAAAAATTTTAAAATCAGTAGAAAATTTTCATTCTTCGACTTTTCCAATATGTCACCAGATTTGTTTTGTCATTTGCTTTCCTTTCCAGGGTCTTGGGACATGTGGAGAGCCTACTGGAACTTGCAAGTAGCCAGTTACCCAAATTCAGAGAGATACTTCCATGCGCGGGGGAACTATGATGCTGCCCAAAGGGGACCTGGTGGGGTCTGGGCTGCGAAAGTGCTCAGGTAACACGTACTCTTGGGGATACCAGAGAAGGGCTGCAGAGCTGCGCTGCCTCACTTCTCTTACCAGGACCCCTCCACCTCCTGCCTAGGCTCCCAGGGTTGGGGTGGTCTGCAGAGCCAGAGCAGGACTTGCAGGGACATGTCTTCTCTCACCCCCAAAGAAAAAGTGAGAACCGAGGAGGGTGCGGAAAAAACCAGCTGATTTAGGTCTTTGCCCAAGAGGGTTGGTACTTTAGCTCGCCCTGTGCCCCAGGACTTCTCCAGCCTCCTCTCAGTATTTCCTTGAGAGGGAGGGCAGAGGGGGATGAAAAGGTGGCGCTGTGTCAGGTATCAGGTTCATCTTCTGTCTCCCTTCCTTGCATTTCAGCAATGCCGGGAAGTACCTTCAGGGCATCTCAAACCGGTTTTATTATGGAATGAGCAACTATGGATCAGAAAACATTGAGTCCAACCAGAAAGCTGAGGAATGGGGCCGATATGGCAAAGACCCCAATCACTTCAGACCACCTGGCCTGCCTGAGAAGTACTGAACTCACTGTTCTTAATGCTGTCTGGGAACTAGGCTGGGAACCACACACCTCTCCCCCTGACACAGTGTCCCTGGGCCTTGTGCCCTAGGAACTGGTACAGGACACTTAAGATGCCCAATGACTATGTGTCAAAGAATTTGTTGGTGGAAACTGGGAACATTGAGATGGACTTTCTAGGAAGAATGACCACTTGGTGTTGCACAGAAGACAAACAGCCCCATTGAGGATGACCCTATGACTGTGGTGGTACAGGAACCCCCAGTTGGCCTGTAATGATGTGTGTTCGTCAGCTTTCCATTGCTGTGACAAAATATCTGAGAATAATAATTTAAAGAAGGAAGGTTTGTTTTGGGTCATGGTTTTAGAGATCAGTCCATGGTAGGCTCTCTTCATTGCTGTGGGTCCAAGGTAAGGTAGAACATCATGGTGGTGGTATGTAGCAGAACAAAGCTGCTCAGCTCATGGCAGCCAGAAAGGTGGAGACAATGGGCATCTTCCTTCTGCTTTTGTTCCATCTGGGGCCCCACCCAATTAGATGGAAACGCCCACAGCATGGGTCTCTCCATTGGCTTGCTGTCCCACATGCCAATTTTTTCTAGAAACATCCTCACAGACACACCAGTGTGGGACTGTGTGATTCTAAAGTTAATTACTCCCCTAGATTCTGTTGTAAATTTGATGGTTGGAGTGTGTTTGCCTCGGGACAATGGACAATCAGTAATAGGGCGAGGTTACTCAGCCATCTGTTTGCCCTAAATCCAAATGTCCCGGGGCCCAGTATCTATAGGACAATCTGTAAACAGGGTGGTCGTAACTGTCAGTCAGGATGTCTGCTGAACATCAGCATGTGACAATGAGCAACTAACCTTTGTTCTTTTTTTTCTGTGAATCCACATGTTAACCCCCCCCCCCTTAACCCCCTATAAAACAACCTCGGACTCTGAGCCAGGTGCCTCTCTGAGCTATTTTGCTTCGGGAGTGCCGTCTGGCCAGACTAATAAAGGTCTGTTTCCCAACATGGCCGGTGTGTTCCTTCCCGGGTGTGCTCCACTCCAGCTCCTTGGAGCGTTTGGTAAGGCCTTTGGTCTTACATTCTGGAGGCAACGCTGGGATCCCCGGGTGTGCTCCACTTCAGCTCCTCAGAGCGTTTGGTAAGGCCCTAGGTCTTACAACCAGCACACAGTATACCAGAAGCGTGTTGTACTCATTTCCTAGGTGTTTCTCAATTCAATCAAGTCGACAAGCAAGTTTAGCCACCATTTTATGCATGCCCCTCACATGACCCCACCACAGCCCTTAGGAGACTCAGTTCCTCCTGAGTAAGCCTATGTTGGGAAAGCATTGACCACCATGCTGGATTCCTTAATGACTATAGTTGTGGTTCTGACATAGTCCTGGACACCCTCCCACGAATCTTTTTCATAACACAGATCAGACATCCCTCCCTATCCCTCACTTCTTTTTTCTGTCATACCCAGGCTTTCTGGTTATTTTATTGCTGTTCTCAGGCTTCTCTGTGTACAGACTCCACTCTGCCCAATCATTTGCCACCTGTCAACTCTCTGGCTCCAGATCTTGTCTCCCAGCAACCTCTTTCCATATTTAGAAGGCACATTGCTTTCAGAAGCCTAATCCCACAAGTCCTAGCCTAGAAACTGCCATCTTGGACTCTACTTCTTAACAATATCAGCGCCTACCCAGACTCAATTTTTAATTAGTCTGCTCATTTTCCCTAAGAATACCTCTCACATTAATTTTCCTTAATGTTATTCTCACTGTCTTTTAGTTCAGATAAAATTCTACTTCCTGTTCTAGAGAGGAACTGAGTTATGCCGCTATAGTACAATTAAATATGAATGAATGCATTATTTAGTAAAGCCGAAGTTTTCTTTTCAAAGTAGGTCAATTGAATTTCAAGTAGCAGGAAGGCATTAATGAAGAGGGAGATTCTAAAGCTAACTGCTGCATCAAAGGCAAGTGGAAGCCAGAGGAAGTGGGATAAGCCTATAGGTGGCAGGTTAACCCCAAAGGGAGTAGAAACAGCTCTTTCTCTGAGAAAGAAATAAAGGTGAAAAGCATGGGGCCAGGGAAGCAGAACATTGGAGATGGAGGACAGGGTACCTGAGGGAGGCAAGAGGTACCTGCTATTGTTGTATGTGACTGCTCCTAGGGCTCAGCACACTTCCGTACATTTGCTTATTTATTTATCTGTAGAGCAAGCATTTAAGAAGCTAAAGGTGAAAATCATGCCTATCTTAACTTATACGTCATCTTTGTATCCACAATCCCTACTATAGCTCCCAGTTTAGATAGATGCTCAATAAATACGTGCTAAAATGAGTGAATGAAGTAGACGTGCTCTTTAAAAGCCAACAGATCTGGGAGGAGGGTTTAGTTGTACAAAGTATGGAAGTGTGAGACAAGTCCTGGCCTACAGAAAGTGGTAATGAGTCATTTTGAGATGACTCTAAGTCTATCCTCAAATCTATGTTGAAATGCCAGCCAAAATCACACAATTTTACTTTGTTATAGAAAATTCTATTTTCTCTAGCAACACTTTGTACATTCTCTCATAAAAATGAAAATTATGAACTCCAAGTATAAATAAACCACTAGTCATAATAGTATCTGATCAAAAGCCTGGGAGAAAGGAATAGGTATTTTGAATTTCCAAAATATTGTATTGATTGTGTTTCTATTAGGCAAGTTCATGGAAAACAGTCTCTGAGACATACCATTTCTTTGAATCCAAGATACAATAGACTGAAAAATGCACTATTATTTATATACTACCAAGAAAAACATCTTGCCGATTAAACTAAGACATAATGCTTTGTTATCACTTAGAGTCTATCATTTAATGAAAAAGTTCTTTTAGTCTTACTTTGACACAGATTTTATCTTACATTACTCTTCTGCATACACAAAAAGGAAAACAAATTTATTTGAGTATTCCTAAAGCATTGACAAAAATTTTCTGAATTCTAGCTGGTTATTATACAAGAATTTAAGACATACCCTAATTGGGGCCGGGGATTTAGCTCAGTGGTTTTGCCGCCTGCTGCGTAAGCACAAGGACCCGAGTTCAATCCCCGGTACCAAAAAAAAAAAAAGAACATATCCTAATTTAAGAAGATTATAACCTATGGAGGATATGAGAAGTTCTCAGGCCCTCGGACAGCCTTGGGAAGACAGATTGTCCTGATGTCTGTGGCAGGCCCAGATAGAGAAATTAAAGATAACTTCAGAAGGCTGTTTGTCGGTCTCACAGTGTTCATTCCACTGTGGTCCCTTAAGACTCTCAAATATTTGCTTGGTATAGGACTAGATAAGAATAGCTAACTTTTTAGAAGCTTTAAGTAGCCAGGATGATTTAGATAAGATGCACTAAGATTAAAGGAGCATAGATGGCTCTGTAGATGTTTTATGTACTCATAGATATAACTGGTGGTTAGTTGACTAGCATTGTAAACTGTTAATGATTGATGTATCCTACAGAAAAATGTATAAGAGAAGGATATTATCAGTAAACCTCACCTTAACTCCAAGAGTTGTGGTCCCCCGTGCCCTTCATTTAATAGGTTTTGTCTGATACTGTCTTCAGGTTCCAGTCTCCCACCGAGGGGACCCCAACAATAATCAATAAATGTGTGTCTTAGAAATGACAAAATATGCTTCTTAAATTTAAACCTATACAGGTTCTCCCATTATATTTGCTGAGAAGGAATAATAACCTTTTGATATTCATCACAAATTTAAAAAGACTCTCCTAGGAATGTGTCAGTTGGCCTCGAAGCATGTGGCCACCACATGCCTCATAGCATGTACTTAATGTATAGGAAATGTTTCTCGTAGGACACGGAATCTGTTCACTTACTATAATTAGCCTTGGATAATTGACTTATGGCTTTAGAAAGCTTGCACATCTTTGGTGAGGCAGGAAATTCCAGATTCTGTGGAACTACCTAAGGCTTAGCCTATTTTCTGTTGCTATAAGAGAACAGAGGTTAATTTCTGGACTAGAAAGTCCAGAACAGGATGCTGGTATCTTGTGAGAGTCTCCTCGTTGCATTATAGCATGGCAGATGACATCACATGGTGAGACAGAGCAAGCATGCTAGCTCAGGTCTTCTTTGCTCTCCTTGTAAAGCCACTAATGCCATCATGGTGGTCCCACCCTCATGACCTCATGACCTCAAACCAGAAGTCAGGGGCAAAGGCATGGTCAATGTAGTCTGTGCAGGTCAACCTCCTAAAGCAGAAAGCAAAGGGAGGAAGGGAAGACTGGCTCCAAGGAGCAAACGGGCAGCACCCGTTAATTTTATAGTTGGAGGTTAATTTTGTAGTTGGAGGACTTGTGCCATTTCATCACGTCAGAGTCTTCCTCATGGTGCTTAATAGTGATGAAAGGGCTGCCGTCCTAATGTCCGCTCCTTGGTCTCAAATGCATTACTCACAAAAGTTCTAGATGAAGCAGGGAGCCTGGAAGAGCAAGATGGGAGAGCATGGAAAAGCATGATTGATAAATCCAGATAAAGTATGTAACCTAAAGCAACGCATTATTATTATTAATTAATTAATTTCATTTATTTATTTTTTGGCACCAGGTATTGAACTCCGGACTTTGCGCTTGCCAGGCAGGCACTGTGCCACTGAGCTACATCCCCGCCCCTAAAGCTATGCTTTGTTAAAAACAAGACTAAAATAATTTAGTTCTGCAAATGATGTTACCCAGATATAATCTGCTTAGAGAGAAGTCTTAATTTAGGGGGCTTTTAAACCTCAGGTGGTTTGTTTTCCTCAACTCCACTTTCAACTGTGGTGATATAAACTGTCTGCTCTATCCTTAGCAGTTGGGTCATTTTTGATTATTAAAAGTCACTGCAGTCCTGTTTCAAGCCCTTACACGACAACTTCACAGTACTCCCAACCTCTGTCATTGGCTGGACTGCAGTTGGGACATTTGGAGTGGTGACAGCTCAGACCTCTGTGCCTCCTGCCCCTGAATTGAATGGGAAGTGTCCTTTCACCATGCCTGCCAGCCTCAGGTCCCAGGGGAGGGGAGCTCCAGGGTCATCCTGGCCTCACCTCATTCGATGCGCTCCTAACTGCTGCTGATATTCCCTGCCGACATGGAGTCTCTGCAGAGCTGGTGGGCACTGTTGCTCCTGAGGTCGGTTCACATCTGCCTCCTCAGAAACGGAGAACCTCCCCAGAGAGGAGCAGCCATTTCCATGACTGGTCCTCCAGTCGTCCGTGTCTCCCACCCCTCTCTGGGTAAGCTGCTGCCTCACCTGGCCCAGCTTTTACCTTGACCCCAGTTTGGGGTTGCTTCAGGCTGAACGGCTGGGGGCTTCTTCTCTTCCTGCCCAGGAGGCAGAGATGAGTGAGAGGTAGCCCCCATCTTCTTTCTGGGCACACTCTACCGCCACCCCGCAACTGCCGGCATGAACTGCACCATCCTTCTGAAATCCCTAGATGAGAAAGAAACAAGCAGTAAAATGCTCATCAGAATTGCTGTCTCGGGAACTCTCTTCCTGCACCCCCTCTGCTTGGACCAGGGTGGGAGGATGAGCTGACCGTTTGGGCAGCTCGATGTGCCCTCGGCTGGGGCCTGAGAATGCATCTTTTTTCTTCTCGGCACCTCCAGTCCATATGAAAGGATCACCTATCTCCACCGACCCTATACTCCCCATGGTGGACAGCACTGCTTTCTCTCCCAGCCCCATCCTCAGTCCTCTCCTTGTATGCACCAGAGGATAGGATGGGGCTGAGGAGGGGTTGGCTGCTGAAGGCCTGCACTGCTCTCTCTTTATAAGCCTCGGGAGCTTGTGAGGTCGGGTCCCATTTCCTGGATGCTCTTCTAAGATGCAAGTGTATTTGGAACCTCTTTGTCCTCAGCTGTGAGCAACGGGAATAAAGGATCGCTCAGCAGCCTGCTTTTCAAACATTGGTGCAAAGGGAGCTCTCTTTCAGTCCTCTAACTTTCCAGTTCATGTTTTGAAATCTCTAAATATGGGAAGGAAAATCCCGGCCCCTGTGAGAAAACAATATACTTTGTTTACACACAGATTTGTTTCTGGTGGATTCCAGTCAATGACCCAAAGTACAATTTTCTGAGAGGTCCTTTTCAGGAAGGACTGGGGAGTTTAAGGTAACTCTAGGTTGGTCCCAGAGTGCCTTGTTCCCGTATGATCTGCCCTGGGAAAATCCTGCCATGTATGTGATTGATCTTTGTGTACTTGTGTGCAGGGCTGGACTTGGTACTCTCCAAAAACAGCCTTCAAAAACTTCCACCAATTTATCTTTCCCCTAGTGGTAGCTAAAGGTAATAACAAGGAAACCTGTTCACCCTGAACTCTTAAATAAACAACGCAGAATATATGGGCCGGGGGTGTAGTTCACTGGTAGTTCACTGCATTCAACCCCCAGCTCTGCCTCCCCCACCTCAAATATGATAGTGATAGGTACTGTGCCCCCCTGTGTTTATGTATGTGTTCATATATGGAAGCTACATTGAAGAAAATAAATTGAGATCAAACGTGAAGGTTCTACAACAGTCTTCCTCACTCCTTCCCCCAATCTTGGCTGATGAAATTAGTATTGCTTTTCATTTTTTGTATTTATACTTGTTTTGCATTTTTGAAGTTTTCACCAGTGAACATGTTCATTCAACTAAGAATCATTAAATCTCCTATGTTGCCAGGCATGGTGATACACGCCTGTAATCCCAGCAGCTGGGAGGCTGAGGCAGGGGCCTTGCTGTGAGGCCAGCCTGGGATACATAGTAAGTTCGAGGCCAGCCTGAACTACATAGTGAAACTTTGTCTCAACAACAACAAGAAAAACAGCAACCACCCAAACTACTATGCTCCAGGCACTCTCCTGGGCGCTGGGTACTGAGGATGAAAGACCCAACAATCTACTTCCCATTCTCTTTGGAATTCCAATGTTGAGATGAGGAAGAACAACACTGAAAAGAAACCCTAAGCTGATGTGCACGCAAATCGCCCTCACTTGCTCTCAACACAATGTATGCATGCATGCACTGAGATGTCACACTGACCCCATAGATACGTACAATTATTAGATGATAATTTAGGGCTGGGGATTTAGCTCAGTGGTTTCGCCGCCTGCTGGGCAAGTGCAAGGACCCAAGTTCGATCCCCGGTACCAACCCCCCCAACCAAAAAACAAAAACATCTTCATTATATGATAATTTAAAAAATTTAAAAAGAGATGTGTGCTTTTCTAGAGGGTTTTTAAAATTTAATCATGTCTTGAGCTTATTCAAAATGCTTTTTTGAAAATCAATTGAGGCAATACATCATTGTTTGTCTTTTTTTTTTTTTTTTTTTTGGTACCGGGGATCAAAGGGGACCTTGTGCTTGCGAGGCAGGAGGCTGAACCACTGAGCTAAGTCCCCGGCCCTTTTCAGGCTTTTAATGTGATGATTTACAATGAATTTTTAGTGTGAACCTATTCTTTTTTTTTTTTGGTACCAGGGATCGAACTCAGGACCATGTGCTTGCCAGGCAGGTGGTGGTGGAACCGCTGAGCTACGTCACCGGCTCTAACCTATCCTTGCAGACCAAGAATACACTGTACTCAATCACAAGGCCTTGTTAAAACATATTTTATTAGTTGGTGCTGCATTTTATTTTGAAATTTACTTTTTAAAAAAGCAAAATGTGATTTTCTTTTCTTACACGAGGTGTGATAAAAAATAGTGTTTATGCAGATCCATAATACCCTTTGTAGTGTTGTACATATTTTTGCTTTCAAAACTTTTTCATCTCCCTAATCTACCATAACTGATCAATCATTTCAGTTCTCCAGAAACCTAGTTTCATTGTATAGTTTTGACATGGCTTAGTATAACAAGGAGCCTATTTTAAATTCAGAGTAGTAGTCAGAGAATTGTTAATTTCCTAAAACTCAGGAAACATTAGTGTGTCACTTCTTTTGCACTGCAGCATATAAACTAGCATATTGAAATTTGCAAAATGTCTTTTTTGAGTGTATCATGGATGTATGTAGATTGAGTAAAATTTGTTAGCAGGTATCAGTAACTTATTGCCGCTTATATTGTAAATTGTTAAACTTCAATTCCTATAGCCCTGAATAGTATTCATTAATGTCAGTAAATAATAAAGTTAATTTGAGACCACTTTTTATTTTGATAGCATGAAGTGTGGAATGTGTCAATGAAATTGTTGATAAAGCTGAACCCACTTGCAAAATGATTTTTTAATGAGAAATACATAGTCTTTTTGAATTATATAGTATGCACCACTATTTGCTTGATTATGTAATGTCAAAAGTTTATATTCCAAGTACAAAAACATACTGGATTACATTGAGTATTCAATGTAATAACATTCTTGATGGCTTTGTCTCAGTTCAGGGCAGCTGCTCCCATCTAAATATTAAAAATAGTTCAATAAAAAGAATAGTTCAATAAAAATGGTTTAAAAATGTAAAAAAAATCGTGTGTTTAAATAAATGTGTTACACCACAAGACACTGCCATTCATCGCCTCCACATACTCCCCCTTGCTTTAAACCAGTCTTCTCCTTTGCCTTGCCACTCTCTCCAGCAGGTCTGGAAGTGCTTCATGAGTGTCACCCAGATTGGTAGATGGTGTGTCCTGTGAACTGATGAGATCGAGGTCTGACAACAGTGCCTCCACATTAAGCCCATTTGAACCAGGAAAGGGGACACAGACTCAGCTCTAGGTGAGGCTCTGGGAGGAATCTGTCTGCTTCTGGGAGCTGTTTCTGCTGCCCATTGATTGCTGGTCTGTGGCCTTGGCCAGCGGCATTTGGTGTATAGCTGTGGAATGCAGGTGCGAGCCTTTAGCAGTTAACTAGACGAAAAACACTGTAGATTTGATCTCTCAAATGATTATTTTCAGGTTTGATAGGTGGCTTAGGATTGTACATAATTCTGGGAAGTCAGTGGTTTCCTTCATGACACCTGCAGTTCAATGGACTGTGTTCTCCTACGCTCCAGGGGCAGGGGCAGTGGAGGAGCTGCTTAGAGCAGAAACCGCTCAGGTCCTAGCAGTGGCCTTGCCTGAGTGTGGGGAAGGCACCGCCTTCTACAGGATCAACAAGGGCAGAGGTCCTGCTCTCAGGAAGCTTGGAGCGCCTGTATAAGTGGGCTTTCTTTGAAATAATCTCATGTATTATTATTAACTATGGTCACCATACTATGCAATAGGTCTCAGAAACTTACTCCTCTTGTCTGAGACTCTACATTTAGTCAATATCTCTGCATTCCTGTTCCACTTTATCCCCATGCCGCCCTCTGATGTCACCATTCCACTCTCTACTTCTGTAAATTTGACTTTTTTGGAGTTCACAGAGTGAGATCATGCATTTGTCTTTCTGAGCCTACCTTATTTCACTTAGCATGATATCCTCCAGGTTCACTCGTATTGTCCCAAAGTACAGACTCTCCTTGTGTTTTGTCTTTTTTTGGTACTGGGGATTGAACTCCAAAACTTTTGCTTGCGAGGCAGGCGGTGGAACCACTAAGCTAAATCCCCAGCTCTCTCCTTGGTTTTTAAAACTATATTGTACAGGGCTGGGAATTTAGTTCAGTGGTTCCATCTCTTGCCTTGCAAGCACAAGGACCCGAGTTTGATCCCCGGGACCAAAAAAAACCAAAAAACAAAACTATATTGTACATTTCAAAATTTCTGAAAGAATAGATTTTACGTGTTCTCATTACAAAAAAGATAGGTATGTGTGGCGATGAGTATATTAATTAGCTTTATATAATCATCACACAACGTATGTGCATCATACCCCTTACATTTATATAATTATTTGGCAATTAAAATTTTAATACAAATTTTTTCTTTTTATGTATGTATATAAATGGTGTGTGTATGTGTGTGCATTTTATTGGGAAGAAAATACAACCATATAATCAATAGCTTGCCTCAGTATTGAATAATGTTTTCAGCCATTTGAATGTGATATTTTCTTTTAATCTCCCTCAGTGAGCTGAATTATGGGAATGGAGAATGGAGCCTTTCTGGTACTGAAGCTCCATGTTCCCAGCAGCTGCTCATTCTGTTGATAAATATAGTTCAGAGGAGGCCATTGGTTTGGAGCGAGCTCCTGCCCTCAGCCCCAGCAGACCAGACCACCCCAGAACGGAGTCACTCATGCTAGCGGGCATGGAAACAAGTCAACCTAAATACAGGGCAGTTTTCCAAAAACAAACAGACCAGATTTATAGCAGTCAACAAAGAGGGCCCTTGCTTCCTTGTTTACTGGGGTTGAATATTTTTTCATGGACATGTTGGTCGTTTGAGAAATGTCTAAAAAAAGTAAAATTTTAATGCATATCCTGTTTTAGTGCTTTCATGTGTCTATTATTACAACTACTTGTGGATTCTATAATTAAGTGAACCCTCTTTCAGACTATGATCGCGCAAAGATAATATTAAGCAGTTATCTCTCACTTCAGACATTCATTGTCTACTTTAGACCATGAAGAAATTACTTTCCTTCTTAAAAAATGTACTATTTGGAATCACACATAAATTACAGCCTTAAAGGATGTCTACAAATGTTCCTGAAGTAGGATAAAAGAAATAAAGATAGAAAGGAAACAAGGGAACTCATTTTGGGGGGGTGTCCCTTATTACCTTAAAACATTGAGTCCGATCCTGGATCCTGATCCGGGCTCAGCTCTACCAGTAGGAATGTTAATCACTGAGGAAAGTTGGCAAAACAAGGTTTCTTAGCCCTAAATTTACCTAATCTACCGCATCCCCCTCAAGTCTGAGGGGACCAAGATAAGAATAACTAATGTAATTTTCAGGGTTTACAGGGACACTCAATTGCCAGCTTTCATAATGTCCAGTTCCAGATGCCTACAAGTCTCCAAA